GGGGGGCGCGGGCCGGCGGGGGGCCCCCCCCCCCCCGAGTGCAAAATTTTTTGGGCCCCGGGCCTCTAGCATATATATAAAATATGTGATTATATAACCCTGTTTCTTAAAAAAAAAAAAGAAAAAAGTAAGAGGGATGTGGGTCAAGCAGTTGCTCAGACCATCCACTGTACCTTACTTACTATCATGGGATGTAGTCACACAGGTGCTGAGGACAATCCCCTGCACATAATCATCAATGGGTCTCAGGACATGAGTCACAAAGGTTCACAGCCAGATGTCATAACCTCCTGTCCTAACTGATGATTTCAGAACTGTATGAAGAGGAACTCAGGTCTGGCTAAAGCCAAAATAGCACTGAGCTGTGAAGTATCTGTCCACTCTTTAAAATATGTAATTTGTCCCCCATTTAAAATATTCCATCTTCACCCAACTGACATGGTTCAGTGGTTGCATGTCAACCTATGAATCAGGAGGTCACAGTTCCATTCCCAGTCAGTGCACATGCCTGGGTTGTGGGCTTGATCCCCAGTGTGGTGCCTGCAGGAGGCAGCTGATCAATGATTCTCTCATCATTGATATTGCTACCTCTCTCAAATCAATAAAAAATATTTTTGTAAAAATAGTCAACCTTCTACCTCATTTTGAAGTTTTTATTAAAGAATCCCTCCCTCACCTTCTAGTCCCACCACCTCCTCCATCACAGAAATATTCCTAATCTCACCCACCGAAAACATGTCCTTCTTCTGGGAGTTCTGAGGTGGGGAAGTTTCCCCCCAGGTCCAGGCTAGAGTGATGAAAATTGAGGGGCACCCTCACACTCTCTGAAGCAGGTCTCAAGCACAGGAACACGTGTTAGCTAACCTAATCTCACAGCAGCTCTTCTACAAATACAAAGGAAGAAACTGAGACTGGTAAAGGCTAAGACCCTGAGGTCTCAGGTGACTTTGCTCCAGGAACTTAGCTTCTGGGTCACTACACATGAGAGCCTTGTGGCAAAAGTGGGAAGTGTGTGTGGGATGAAGCCTTGGGACAATCTTGTCTTCACATCTCCCTGTAGCCACTTGGCCATGTGCCTGGCCAGTTCCTCCCACTGCAGAGCAGCACATCCCATTGGATCTCGGGCTGGGCTGTGATAAGAGCTTTGGCTGTGGAAGGTTAGCAGGTGTGACAGGACCAAAGGTGTCAACAGTATCTCTGTCACTGGTCTTGTGCTGCACACCTGCCTTTGACACTCCCCCCCCCCCCCCCC